ATATCCATTCAGCAAGCGCATTAGAGTCGCGAGCGCTGTCAATTCATACGTCTAGCAAGGTTGCATGACAGAACTCATGCACATCTTGAAAATGTCATCATCGAAAAAGCCGCAAAAAGCCGCAAATGAGATTTTTTTTATATTTTTCTAAATAGTTTCTTCTTTTGTTAAAGATACATTACACATTGCAGAAATACGCAGAAGACTTTTTTTTTCTCCACAGAAGACGAACATAAAGGTTAAGTTTTTTCTTTTTGGACAACACAAAACAATACACATATAATACACATAAAATAATTTTACACAAAATGCTTTCATTAAACTCAATTTTCTTACCTCGAGGTTTAAAATTCATTTTAAATAATGTTAAATTCTTTTTTCGTGTGTGATTGCCAAGCGCACAAAGTCAACAAAAGTTTCCCGCCAACTTATTCACAAAAATCAGCTGTTCAATCACTTGACTTTGAAGCTAAATAAAAATTGAAAGGTTGCATTTCAACCAAAAATACTTTTTAATACTTATTATACAGGGAATTTAATATTGATAAGTTTAAAAAAAATTAAGATTTATTTAAATACAATTTTCGATTTTATTCCGCTTATTTGGCAATCCGGCCTACTGTGCATCGGAAGGAGCAAAAGTGGGGAAATGAGGAAAACCCACAATTTTATAGGGGTACCCCTAGGAAAAAATTCGAAAAATTTCAAAAGCATATTTAGGCAATGCTTTGAATGAGGAAAGTCGCTCCTGGGTTCGCTGATTACTAAATGGTACTTTATTTCCTGATCGGATACGAATTGGCAGAGCTATGGCCATCGGAAGGAGCAAAAGTGGGGAAATCGGGAAAACCCACAATTTTATAGGGGTACCCCTAGGAAAAAATTCGAAAAATTTCAAAAGCATATTTAGGCAATGCTTTGAATAAGGAAAGTCGCTCCTGGGTTCGCTGATTACTGAATGGTACTTTATTTTCTGATCGGATACGAATTGGCAGAGCTATGGCCATCGGAAGGAGCAAAAGTGGGGAAATGAGGAAAACCCACAATTTTATAGGGGTACCCCTAGGAAAAAATTCGAAAAATTTCAAAAGCATATTTAGGCAATGCTTTGAATAAGGAAAGTCGCTCCTGGGTTCGCTGATTACTGAATGGTACTTTATTTCCTGTTCGGATACGAATTGGCAGAGCTATGGCCATCGGAAGGAGCAAAAGTGGGGAAATGAGGAAAACCCACAATTTTATAGGGGTACCCCTAGGAAAAAATTCGAAAAATTTCAAAAGCATATTTAGGCAATGCTTTGAATGAGGGAAGTCGCTCCTGGGTTCGCTGATTACTAAATGGTACTTTATTTCCTGATCGGATACGAATTGGCAGAGATATGGCCATCGGAAGGAGCAAAAGTGGGGAAATCGGGAAAACCCACAATTTTATAGGGGTACCCCTAGGAAAAAATTCGAAAAATTTCATATTTAGGCAATGCTTTGAATAAGGAAAGTCGCTCCTGGGTTCGCTGATTACTGAATGGTACTTTATTTCCTGATCGGATACGAATTGGCAGAGCTATGGCCATCGGAAGGAGCAAAAGTGGGGAAATGAGGAAAACCCACAATTTTATAGGGGTACCCCTAGGAAAAAATTCGAAAAATTTCAAAAGCATATTTAGGCAATGCTTTGAATGAGGAAAGTCGCTCCTGGGTTCGCTGATTACTAAATGGTACTTTATTTCCTGATCGGATACGAATTGGCAGAGCTATGGCCATCGGAAGGAGCAAAAGTACCCCTAGGAAAAAATTCGAAAAATTTCAAAAGCATATTTAGGCAATGCTTTGAATGAGGAAAGTCGCTCCTGGGTTCGCTGATTACTGAATGGTACTTTATTTTCTGATCGGATACGAATTGGCAGAGCTATGGCCATCGTAAGGAGCAAAAGTGGGGAAATGAGGAAAACCCACAATTTTATAGGGGTACCCCTAGGAAAAAATTCGAAAAATTTCAAAAGCATATTTAGGCAATGCTTTGAATGAGGAAAGTCGCTCCTGGGTTCGCTGATTACTGAATGGTACTTTATTTCCTGATCGGATACGAATTGGCAGAGCTATGGCCATCGTAAGGAGCAAAAGTGGGGAAATCGGGAAACCCACAATTTAATAGGGGTACCCCTAGGAAAAAATTCGAAAAATTTCAAAAGCATATTTAGGCAATACTTTGATCGAGGAAAGTCGCACCTGGGTTCGCTGATTACTGAATGGTACTTTATTTCCTGATCGGATGCAAATTGGCAGAGCTATGGCCATCGGAAGGAGCAAAAGTGAGGAAATCGGGAAAACCCACAATTTTATAGGGGAACCCCTAGGAAAAAATTCGAAAAATTTCAAAAGTATATTTAGGCAATGCTTTGAATGAGGAAAGTCGCTCCTGGGTTCGCTGATTACTGAATGGTACTTTATTTCCTGGTCGGATACAATTTGGCAGAGCTATGACCATCGGAAGGAGCAAAAGTGGGGAAATCGGGAAAACACACAATTTTATAGGGGAACCCCTAGGAAAAAATTCGAAAAATTTCAAAAGCACATTTAGGCAATGCTTTGAATGAGGAAAGTCGCTCCTGGGTTCGCTGATTACTGAATGGTACTTTATTTCCTGATCGGGTACGAATTGGCCGAGCTATGGCCATCGTAAGGAGCAAAAGTGGGAAAATCGGGAAAACCCACAATTTTATAGGGGTACCCCTAGGAAACGATTCGAAAAATTTCAAAAGCATATTTAGCATTATATAGCGGGAGGAAACCCGCTCTTGAGTTTGCGGGTTACTAAATGGTACTTTATTTCGTGATCGGATACAAATTGGCAGAGCTATGGACATCGGAAGTGGAAAAAGTGGGAAAATTGGGAAAAGCCACAATTTAATGAAATTCTAAAAATTTAGGGTTGTTTATCACAAAATGATACTAATGGGGAAATGGGGGTCTGGTATCATATTACCTTATTTTTATCCTATCATTGTGGAAATATTAATTCAAATACATTTTTAATATACAACAGTCTTCTGGTTAATAGTATAATGTGTTATGGACCAAACTTATTTCGGAGCCAATGTCAAATGCTTTTTAAAATAAAAATAAACAAATTAAATGAATAATAAACCAAATTTATTTGAAGGCAGAACCAGGCATTGGTGTTTTGCCAGTTTGATTTCTAATCCAACTGAATGGGTTATCTTAAATTCAGAGAACACAGGCGTCAATTCTATAAAAATATAAATATATCAGCCACATGTAAAAGCCTTCATCCGTTGATGGTCCACCTTAAATTTTAAATTTCATCGTTGAACTGAATAAGCTGGGAAGTTTGCATACATTTATTCAACTTCAGAATACTTTTTGCGGATGTTACGTTCGTCTATTTGGTTCCAGTCCGACATGGATGATTTTGAACTATCTGATGATGGTGGAGTTGCCAGAGTTTGTGAATCACTTGAAATATTTCCATCATCGGTAGATGATCCTTCCTCTGAAATCAACAGACTTCCTTTATATGACTCTCCGACCTTGTATCGGTAACGAGATGACGATTCAACAAATTTTAAAAAGAAAATATTTTGAAAGTCAAGGTACTTTTTGCGGTTGCGGATAAACATCTTTACGAAGTTGACCTCTTTCTCAAAAACGAGGGTCTTTGATGCCTCATGCTCACCATTTGGTGCGTATTCGATAACACCATCAGGGATGGGCGGGATGGGCGTCTTCGAATGGTATTCGAGTTGCAAGTCCTTTATCTCTATGAGTTTATTCTTAAAATCTTCGATTTGCATCTTCAATGACACGATCAACCGCATGGAAATGTTTCGAATCATCTGATCTCTAGCCAGATCAGCCAAGGTCGGTATAGATACCTCAACGGATTCTTCCTTCTGATCTATTGCCGTCAATATGCGCCTTTCCAAAGATATGATCTTTTTCTGGAGCCTCATATTGACCCTCAACTTGCGCATTTCAGTTCGCATGCACGATTTATAATGTTTATATGTAGCTTTCATGTGTTCGTATGTCTCAAGATCGAGTTCTTCGGGCAAAGTCTGCTGTGACTTGTCAATATATTTTACTTCCGCTCCGTAAATACGTTGCAGCTCCAGTTCCCCATCCAGCTCCTCTGGTATGACTGCCAGATTTCTGTCCAGACTGTACCAGTCACTATCGCTGTCCTCTGTGTCTGTTTGTGAAGTGTCTTCTTCATCCTCGAAATCGTCGACTTCCAGCAGATTGTTTAGCTCATCCTGCCAGTTCTCCGCATCGTCCTTATTCCACGATGGGCCTTCTCGTTGATCATCGAGTATTTTATTATCGTGCATTTTGTTTTTTTTTTCGAAAATAATTATTTATTTAGTTGGTTGTCTCGTTTGAGATGTTGACTCGTTTGTGTTTCGAAATGGTATGGACGATTAGGAAATAAAATGTACACTCCTTTAAAAAATAAATCTCATGGCATGCTGGATTTAAAAAAAACATTTCAGGCCAAATCAACTTATGGCCAACTATTCTTTTATCTAATCATGATACAAAGAATGTAAAACATTTTTTAATGAATCATTGGAGTTTAGGTTTTCTGATGCAATTCCATTAACAAAAAAAACCTGTGAAGACTATACATACGTGTATCTTTCCTTTAGTCACCACGTCATCGATGGGCAGACGATAAGATAGGTCGGTTATTCTTGAGATAACAATTGCCCCGGGAATTCGTATACGGTTCAACCAGACCAAGAGAGTAAGGGCCGCGTCACAATCTCCAAAAGGGCTCCGGTGTGATGCCAATTCTCCTGCGTGGTCATTGTTTGGTAAATCGCTTCCCGTTTGCGGTGAACCACCGGCAAAGATTTACAAGGCACCGGACAATGTCGGCGGCTCTCCTCGCACCCATTGCCGCTATCTGGAGAGGCCCGGGGGCTCTATCGCGGGCAATAAATAAGGAGGCCGTGTCCGATAATGTCGCTATAAAACCTCTCCTCAAGTGGTTCAACGGCTCAGTCGAATTCGAGACACTTTAGCCAACATGCGATACTTTGCCATTTGCGCACTCCTCATCCTGCCGCTCGTCAGCGGAGGACTCGTACCCCAACGCCCCGCCAGGCACTTTGCCGTGTACGAGATCCAGCCCATCCACAACATGCCCCACATGGAAGGTACGGTTTTTGAGGTGCTAAGGACTTCCATGGGGAACAATTAATAATAGATTTCTTATTTTAGACATTGCCCAGAGAATGCAGGCCGTGTTCCAGAAAATGATCCCGGACATTTCGGCCGCAATCGATGCCCTGGAAATTCCGGACATGTCCGTCCATGCTGATGCCGGAGTACTGCCCGACATGTCCGTTGCCACTGATGCCGATGATACCCCCAGGAGGCGTTCTGCTCAGTTCAAGGTTGCCCCTCTGACTAGGGTGGCCGCTCCCTGGGTGTCCGTACTCCCCGATATGATGGTCCAGGCCGACGCCGATGCGATCCCTGATATCTCCGTTGCCAGCGATGCCGATGTGACCCCCAAGCGTGCCAGTTTCGCCCTGAAGAAGCCCCTCCTGTCGAAGGTATCCGGATCGATTCCCACTGTCGATGCTGATCTGATTCCTGACATCTCCGTGGCCTCTGACGCCGATGAGACCCCCAAGAAGGTTGTTGCCCCCGGTCTTAGGACGCTGCCCCAGCTTTTCGAGGTCCGCGGATCTGTTCGTGTGCCTCCTATACTCATCTCCGAGGTCAATGAGTCCCTCAAGAAGGTTGTTGGCTCCGGTCTGAAGACCCTGCCCCAGCTTGCCAAGGTCTCCGGATCTGTTCCTGTGGATGCCGATCTCATCCCTGATATCTCCGTGGCCTCTGACGCCGATGACACCCCCAAGAAGGTTGTTGGCTCCGGTCTGAAGACCCTGCCCCAGCTTTCCAAGGTCTCCGGATCTGTTCCTGTGGATGCCGATCTCATCCCTGACATCTCCGTGGCCTCTGACGCCGATGACACCCCCAAGAAGGTTGTTGCCCCCGGTCTGAAGACCCTGCCCCAGATTGCCAAGGTCTCCGGAGCCGAGCCAATGAAGCTCAGTCCCAAGAGCTTGCCCGATATGTCCGTGGCCAGCGATGCTGATTTCGATCCCAAGAAAACCCTGGGCGCTCTCTTGGCCAAGCTGCACTAACTGAATTTGGATTCTATCAGCAGTCCCATGGCTGATTAAATCAATAATCATTCATATCTAACCGGTTGTGTGTTTTTATATTCTTAAGTTTTTATATGATTGCCATTAATCAACTTTCGAGGAGAACGCTGGTCAGCTGTTATTGTTTTAGTTTTGTTATCAAAGATGGGCTTGAAGTGGTCTGATTGGCTTGATTTAATAAGAGTTTCCTATCAGTCGGGTTAGTTGTCACTGCTGGAAAAGCCTAACTCGTCAGCTTCTTTTTTAACACGTCAGTAATATATCGTTTAATATTGCCCTCAGTTTCTTCGAGCATCTTAGCCTCATCTTTTCTTATTTATCTTGGACAACTATAAGTAATTTATATAACTGTCTCAACTTGACCTCTGGCCTCTTTGTAACAGACAGCTTTCCGAAGAAAAGATACAAAAACCAGCAGACATAATCCAAGTTCGGCCTTTGCATGTTGGCCAGAAAGAAACTGATTAGTTTTGGCCCTCGACTAACAAATAAAATTAGTTTTTTTCGTCGGGAGTGATGGGGAAGAGTGGGAGTCGGGGGCATTGTATTGTATCGCCTGCTATTTATAAAAAGGAATTAACGGCAAAAACCGGACCCATGCACACACGAACTCACAAAAGTGGCCCGAATGTGATCCCAGTGTGGCACATGGCCATAAACAACCAAGGGGTAAGGAGGATGTTTGCACTGGTGCTGACAATTGAGAGACTGTATTTAATGTAATAAATATTTTTTTTTTTAATTAAAAGCCTTGCAAAATTTGTCAGCCAAATGTAGTTTTACATAAAGAGGTTTTAAGCTAGAAATATCTTATTGAAAAGTTTAACAAAGTCTGTTTTGTGGGGATTATGTTTTATATTTTTAGTTGAAACTTTTAGCTATTTTGTGAAAATTAAAAATTATTTCTTTAATTTTGAAAATAATTTTCCAAAATAGCTTTAATTTTGGCATCTCTGGTTAGTTTTTGCAAGAGTTGCCGCCAACTTTTTGCTGCCACTGCCGTTGTGATTTTCACACAAAAGCGCTAAAGCGGCTACTAAATTACGTGCTCATGTGTTCTAGTTGGAGTCGCCACATCGCCCCCGCCACTATCACTACCACTACCACCAGCAGCCTGCCCTCTTCAGCCTCCCCGCCTCTTGAATGACTCCTTTTTGCATTGAGAGCAAATCGCATTTGGAGCCGCTAATGAACCGCAGTGGTCCCGACCAGGAGGCGGCCATCGAATGGGTTCTGCTGCTGGTTTCTGGTTTTTGTTTTTGGGCTTTTCACCGCTACTCGTTTACCTTTTGCCGCATATTCAAACGTAAAAATAACGTTTAAAAGTGTAACAATGCTGTTAACTATTGTGGGCAGGCCCATGGATTGAATTGCCTTGCATGGCCGATGGTGGGGGGCTGGCAGTTCAAGGGGGCGTCCGCAACACAATTGGTGCTTGATTAAGGTGAGTTATGTAGTGCATCCCGGCAATATGTGTGGGGGTAGGGGTTTGCTGCCAAAAATTTCAATCAACTTTGGATCCTCATCAGACAAGGAGCTAACCATGCTAACCATAACGGAAATCGTTCCGTTTTTCAGAGAACAATTACTAAACCTCTGACAGTAGAGATCCATAAAACTTATCAATGATTAAGAAGTGTATTTCTTGTCAGCAAGGATCGTGGAAGAAAAAATATTTTAAATGGAGCAGATTAAGAAGCTCAGTCCTTGGCTCAACAACAATACCCCGAATCTCATAACTTCGTTTCGTTCACAATGCTCTGTTTTTGTTGGGAAGGTTAAAGTTTGTGCTGCCACTGCGGCTTTGCAGCTGTCGCTGGTGATGTCCTTGCCCCTCATCGACCCCCTCGCAGCTCCTGAGTCCTTGCCGTTGGCTGCACTTATTACAAAACTTTTAACTTCATCCCGTTTTGCATTTTCATTTATTTCGCCGCCTTTCATTCACTACCGGGTTTCTGTTGTTGCTGCTTAAGCATATCACTTCACCCATTTCTTTGGGGTTCCTTTCTCTTCCGATGCACTGAAAAAAAATAATAGAAAGACCTTTAATTGTTTTAAAATAAATTGACAAGATATTCAAAAGTATATAGTATGTTTAGAAACAGGGGACAACCTTTTTATATCTAAAAGTCTTACATATATATTTAATATAAATATTATTCAAGTGTATGGTATATTCCATTTCCCACAGTTGGCCCAAACTTTTCGCCCGCCGTTGCTCCTTGATTTCCATACTGCATTTTGCCTTTGAACTTTCATCTCCTTTATTTTGGTTTTTTTTTGGAGAAACTTTTGCTTTCAGCTGGACTCGAGTAAAGTGTACGAGTATTTCTTCAAAGGGTATGTACATATGTAATCAAATATATATTGCAGGAATCCAGTCTGCTAAAAATCGAAGCTTTGGCTTTCTTAATTCACTTTTCCTTCGGACTTCCTTATCGAAAACTTTTTTAATTTTAAAGAACTTCGGAGGAACGTTGTTGGCATCGCCGTTGATCTTTGAGGTATGTGATCTCCTGCAGAGGCACACGAAAGGGGTCACTTCTTTGGTTAACCTTTTGCTAATGACTTCCTTGTCCACCAGATAAGCCCAAAGTGCAACACCGACGACCAACTGGCAACAGCAAACGCTCTAAGAATGTTTAGCAAACACGCGAAGAAAGAAAACAAACTCGCTAAGCAGCATCATTTCGAAAGTTTAGAGTTTCAGCCACTTGCCAACAGATGGCGGCAGATGAAGTGTTGAAAAATGTAAAAAAAAAGAAATGTCAGAAAATATTTTCCTTGGGTTTGAAAAACAAACAAGATTTTTGGAATTTGGAAAGAATTTGTTAAACAAAATAAAACTCATGATTGTTTTGGTAATGAACTCCCTGTATAAATTACTTATAGAGACTAATACTTTAAATCCATAAATATATCTTATACTAATTCCTACTTTACCTTTCTATTATTTTCAGCTTAGCCCACACATAATTTAATTTTTTCTCAAGCTTTTTCTAAATGTCATTGCAACTTTCGCTTGCCTTATTGGTCTTATTCATGTTTACAACTGAATAATTCCATTGAAAATCCCAGCTTGTAAGGATACTTTAACGAATTTCCCATAATAAAATTGAAGTTGTGTAAAAATTATATAAGTAATTTTCAGCAATTTTTTTTTTTGACTTGCCAATTACGTGCTCGTGACCCGCCAACGATTCATCTTCTTGGGGGGGAATTGAAGTTTTTCTTGTTAAATTTTTCTTTTTTGGTAAAACCAAATTTAATTAGCCAACGATTTCATAAAGTTGTGGGTAGTTGGTGGGGGATTCACTGCGACTGCCGGTTGCTGCAGTTGCAACTTTGACATTTTGCCGCATTAGCAAACGATTGCCGCAGTACGTGATGTCGTGGGGGATCCCCCTCGCATCCTCCCCAACTCTCCTGTGCACTTTTCTGCTCCTCCTTCTGTTTCCCCCGCAATATGGCCCCATATCCTCATGGCGCCTGGCCTTGGTATTTTTATTTTATCTTTTTTTCGGTTAGCATTTTCGGTTTCAGAGTTTTTTCTGTATTTTGGCTGCAGGTAATAAATATTTTATTAGACGCTGTGTGAGAGGTGTGCAAAATTTACACCACCGCCAGGTGAGCTTAGGAGCGGAGAACGGTGGCACACTGTGTGAGTCCCTTTTCCTGGCTGAGTCATTGGCGGGGATTTGCATTTTTGGCCATAAAAAATCGAGTTGGCAGCTCTTTCTGGCTTCCCATTTATGGCGGAGAAAGTGGCGAAATTGGGGGGCGTTCAGTGGGTGGGATTTAAGAGCCGAAAAATTTGTCCTCCCTCTTTTATTTATATTTATTGCAACGTAATTTTTTTATGTTCTGGCCCGGCATTGTTGAAAGTTTTATGAGAAATGAAAAAGCCATGGAACAGAGGATCATTGAAGTGAAGGAGATTTCAAATTTATAAGGTAGCAGGATAATAAAATGAAATATTTTTCTTTAAAATGTATCGAATGGGTTTCCCTTTGAAAATCCCACTATTGTTTCCTTAAATACTGTTACTTTAATCTCAGAACATGTCACATTAAATTCCTTGCTTGCTTCGAGCTCTCGAATCCTTCGTCCTGCTTGAGATGCGTGTTTGCAGCTTGTAACTTGCGCACTTAATGACGCATACTTTTGCCGAAGACTGTTGCTGTTGCTGCAGCTGTTTAACCCAGTTATTTATGACACTTGGTCACACTTTGTCGACCCCCGGCCCACCAGTCACACCCCCAACAAATATTTATATGCCCCGCCACCCACACAGCCTTTGTTTTTGCAAATTCCTTTTGGCAAAATGAAAATTCCTCTCCTTGTAAATAGTTTACAGGACACATCGGGGTAAAGGAGTTGTTCTCCTGTCTGGATGAAAATATTTGTGCACTTGCATTTTATTAAGGCTGGCATCGCACCTCCGGGACTTCCGGGGGTGGGGTTAAATGGGTGGCAGTACCACCAGGACCAGGAATTTATTGTCATTGTCGCCTGGTCAATGCACCTGGATGCCAAAAAGAGAGGCAATGCATTGTCCTGGGAGGTCCTGCAACAAATGCTCTGGCATAATTAAAGCCATTTGTTTCAGTCGAGATCGGTGCGGGTCAGGCGATTTATTGTATTTTCCAGTTAGTTTATGGCTCGAATTGAAAATCGGTAGAGAAAGCAAGCTGCAGGTTTCACATAAATTGCAACAGCAAAACGGCAGGGAAATCAATTAACCGAATGCTCGAAGCTCATTAAGTCCGCCAACCGAAACGAATTATTGTATTATAAATATTCGCGCTCTAGCCATTAATTTCAATGGCGGATTGTTGTTAACAAACGACGCGTCGCGACGGCCATTCAAAAATGTTTGAGTGCCTGCCTTGAAGTGTCGAACGATCAATTTTGACAAGAACAACGTTTTATAAACGATTTATGTTGCCACATTATGGGTACTCGACATTTTAAAATCATGTTCAATTGTAATTTTTGTATGCGAACTGTATTAATAAATTACGGTCAAAGGGCAAGATGTTAAAGATTATTTTTATTAAATAAGGAAAAATAAGGAGTCAGAAGGAAGCAAAGGTTATCGTTAGGATTCCAATCATTAGTTACTTTATTTCTTAGAAATCTTTCCTTGTCGAATCATTGATGTCACAATTCCATTCAAAATGCAAATATTAATAAAACAAAATAAAGAAAAAAACCCTCAGCGAGCGCCTATTGGACCCGCTCACATTAATTTGATTTAAGCTTGGCTGCTTTTTTGACATTTTTATTGTTATTGTTTTCTGGTGTGGTTTTTTTCGCGTTTCTGTCTGCTATCGGGCCTGCCATCGCTTATTGTTGTAACGGTGGTGCCCCTGCATTGTTTTTTGATTTTTTTTTTAGCATTTTCCAACACATTTTATCGTTTGCTTGTTTTTTGTTCTCCGCGTCTCGTGTTGCTTTTGTTTTTATTTCCCCCTCCCGATCTGAAACTTGCTTTTTATTTATTTGGGCCTTTGTTAAATGGCATTTTCATGCTTAACTGGCGTCAAATATGGAGTTCCCAACTCCAAAAACCAGAGCAACAAGGCGCTAGGTGGGGGTTGGGGATTGGGGGTCTTGGCGTAAACTTTCCGACACGTGCCCACCAAAAAACAACAGAGAATAGAGATTTAGTTGAGAGCCCGGATAGGTGAACATTTAAATTTTGGTCGTTTTGTAGCAAATATATAAAT